TCTTCATCATAGTAGCTCCAATCTTTAATTTCAGTTCAATCAGTCGAAAATCTAAGAAGATTTATACAAACTTTCATCCCCTATTTTATCCCCTTAGGGGTGGAATTTATCAAAATCCTTTCTTAGGGGATGCCTACGTCATAGTAGCTTTATGCATGCAAAGTCTCAGCCCGATCGGTTCAAAATTGACAAAGTTTCATACAAACTTTCATCCCCTATTTTATCCCCTTGGGGGTAGAATTGATCAAAATCATTTCTTAGCGGATGCCTACGTCATAACATCTACCTGCATGCAAAATTTCAGCCCGATCCGTCCAGTGGTTTGGGCTGTGCGTTGATAGATCACTATGTCAGTTACCTTTGAGTTATATATATTTAGATACGTTTATACGGTTCTTACTGCTACAACGACACATTATCGCTTACGAAATCATTTTATAATAATTTGGCGCCTTTCTCATCTCGAACTTGTTGGGAAATTCTCAAAATAAATCATGATTCACAAATCAAAACAAATGCAATTAAGGCAAGAATTGAAAAATCTGCCGATAATCCAACCTGCAGACTATGTAAAGAAGCTGATGAAACTATTGATCATCTCAGCTGCTGCAAAAAATTGCACAGACAGACTATAAACAGAGACATAATTCTGTAGCCAAAATGATCCATTGGAACCTGTGCCACAACTATCATATACCTACAGGAAAAAATTGGTGGAAACAATTTAGAAAAAGTAGTTGAAAATGATTGTGTCAAAATACTATGGGACTTCCGGATTCAGACTGATAAAGTTCTGGAACATAATATGCCAGACTTCACGATTGTGGAGAAGAAAGTGTGGATCATAGATGTCGCCATACCGTGTGACAGTAGAATTGACGAAAAACAACAAGAAAAACTTAGCCGATATCATGACCTAAAAATTGAACTGCGACGTCTCTGGCATAAACCAGTACACGTGGTCCCAGTGATTATCGGCGCACTGGGGACTGTGCCAAAAGATTTTAGTCGGAACTTACAAGCCATAAATATTGACAAAATTACTATCTGTCAGTTGCAAAAGGCCACCTTACTTGGATCTGCTCGCATCATTCGAAGATATATCACACAGTCTTAAACGCTTGGGAAGTGTTCGACTTGTGGTTTTATGTTTTTGGTAACCAGCATTTCTACCCTATTTGCTGTGTGGACATTGAAATAATAATAATAAGCGAACAGCCCAAACGGTTTAAACTGCGTGTATTTCCCTTACTCGTGGTTGTTTTCTCGCTTTTTTGCAGATTCACATTTCTAATAACGGCGGAAGTGTATGGCATCAGTCAACAACTGATCCATGCAAAATTTAAAATTTTTTGAGGGACCTTAAATCGTCGAGAAATTAACACAATAAAAATAATAATAAAGGATTTTCTTTTCTGTATGCATGAATGTTAGTGTATTTAAATGCACTTTCAAGATTAATAATGACTTTGATTTTTGTTGAAAATTTCTGAAATTTTGCAGTTACGTTTGTGCATCAGGAACATTGATGGTACTAAATAAAACGTACGGAGATAGAGGGGAGGTCACTTGTCATATCTCTTTTAGGAGAAGCTAATGAATATTTAACTATTCATTACCATTTACAGAAGGTTGATCGTGTTTCATAATACCGATTTGTATATTACCCATAGTTCCAGTTGTAGGAACTAAAATGAAAGCAACTGGCCCACGTGCTGCTGTATATTCTGAGTTTTACTTTCGATAAGTAAGGTTTATCTAGCGCAAATATGCCATTTAAAATTTCAGACTTTTGGGCAGGTTATGTAACTACTCTTTCCGAAGCAAAATATTTGCAAACTGAAATTATTATAATGTGCAAAAATCGCGGTTTTAACGTTTCATGATATGAAATACAGTCAGTTCTCAAAAGAAGTGATTCGCAAGTGCCAGGACCAAATAAGTAGTTATGAAAATCGCCATTCAATAATACAGTTGTCCCTCTATAGTCCGACGTTTTTTAATCCGACATGCTCAGTAGTCCGACGCACCTCCCGCCAAGGTACCCGTCCCTGTTACGTGTCTGCTTGCACAGAAGCATGTCGCGATGTGAATCTCCCCATCCAATTTTTACACGATGACACACATTTCGTGTGTTTTATGTGAGCAGTTCTGTTCGAACAGTTGGAGTAGAGAATATTGTAAGTTACTGCTAGCAAAACAATGCGAAATATGTAATTATTTACGGTAATACGGACACTTTTAAAATCTGACACACCTTTGGTCCCATATCTGTCGGATTATCAAGGGACAACTGTATTTGAAATGAATTATCCTTATTAATTTTGATAAAAATATTCATTTAATATTTTAGAGATTGTATTATTGATAAATAAATTATAAAGTATTACAAAGACGGCCAGATGTCCGAGAGATCAAGGTAACAACCTACCACTATGAGAAACCGAATCCCGGATCGAAAAATCTAGTAGAAATTTTCCTGAGATGGTCCAACCGGATATTCCGTTTACCGTCTCCTACCACCTGGGTCACCTCATTGTTGGTTTGGATTAACCCGCAATGAACTTGATTATACAGGCTTTCTTAGTTTTCACATGGCGGAAAGAGTTAAAGTATTATTTATTTCGTATTTTATTATTACCGAAATATCTGTTTGATGGGGTTACAGCAACACAACTCATGTAAATCTGCCAAAAGAGATTCCTTCCGAGAAGAGTTTCTATGAGAAACAGGTTTACTAATCTCAAGTATCTGATAAATGTTTTATTTTTGCCAGGAAATATAGACAAATTTTACAAATAATTTTAGGTATAACGGAGGCTGCATATTTGAATATGCACGCGTATAAAGCATAGCGAGCAGAAAGTAGTGCTTCATTATGCCTCAGTGTGCATTATAGATACTCCAATATGCAGAGCTTGTATGTGATAAGTGGTAAAGCAGCATTGTAAGTTTTGTCCTTTGATGATAGGAGCGCTCCGTAGTAACAGCTTTGTATACACTCGCTCATTACCCGGCTATACCAATTATTATTAACATTTTCCCCTTTTATAATGAATAGTATGCTAATAAAGACATTATAATAAATTGTAATTTAAATAAATTTATTTACAACATTTAACAGCAATTGCTATAAGTTCAATATTATTTACTTTTTTTCGTAGGGAAGTCGATATGTCATAAATTTGCAAACACACAATAAATACGGGTGTCTTACTTATAAAAAAAAAACATTTTGTGTAAAAATAAAAATGTTTGTTTTTGATGTAGGTAAAAATATTCGGCATAACACTTGGTAATAAGAGAGGGCGCTAATAATCATTACAGTGGAGTGCACGAAGCAGAGCAGTTTTTGGTTAGCGAAAGGTTGGTATTGAATGGGAAAATTTAAGAACGAACGATTCCATATTGGGAAACAGTAAATTTAGAAGACTTCTAATAGTGCACTTTGTTCACGTTTTAGCTTGTTGTCTGTGGACTTCTACTGTGGAGTAAAGTACTGTACTTTTTCGTTATTTATCTCTAATTGCTCCCTGCGAGGAATCCAGCAGGGCAACAGGTATTTTCGTGAACTTATCCCGCCAACACAGAAGGAATCCCACGCGGTCCGGGAACAGTAACAAACCTTCCTACCTAGGAGACACCCCTATACCAAAAAATTCTAATAACCCACATCTCATCAATCAACACAACCACAAAATCGCCCACCATTCTCCCATGCACGAAGCAGCCTCCGATAATCACCAACTTCCTCTGACATCACAACAACACTCGAACTTCATGACCTACTACGAACTTCTCCAAGATGATGGCCACTACCCAATTAGCGTGCAGAGATTCAGCAGAACACATAACGGTCGGCGCCTTCTCACCGGAACAATTAAAATCGATCTAGCGACAGATCCTGTGCCATCGATCTAGTGATGGATCATGTGCCGCCCACATTCAATACCTCTGAGATAAGTGTAATCGTCTTCTTGACATCTTCAAAATCTTCTTTAATAAAAACACGGCGGTATCCCTAAAAATCTCCGTCATCATCATCATCAAACAGTACATCAATTACCTTAAAAATGCGAACAACGACCGTCTGTTTCTCGAGATTTTACATGATATTTACTACCCCACTGGAGCCACTTTGGATAAAGTCCTGCGTGTTCATTTCACCCGTAGCTGGAACATTCATCAGAATATCTCTATCTTTCCTGACAATCTTCCCCGTCACAATGTCCTCCTTCACACACACCATCACATCTCTGTCGACGATTACGATTTTCAGCGTTCGAACAGCCCTGGCGACAGCATCCTTCAATATTTTAATATCTGGCGTAGCCACTACCCTGCTCTCACTTTCATTGCCACCGATGGCTCCAAAAAACTTCATATGGTCTCTGCTGCGTATATAAACGACACCCACAATGGTTCATTACAGGTAATGGCTTATTACACTCTTTACCCCGACTCCTCCATATTTACCGCTGAGGGCTATGCCATCTTGCAGGCCATCACTTATGCTACAGCCATCCGCATCAGTGCTGTTCTCTGCACCGATTTCAAATCCATCCTGTCTTCTTAAATAACTACAACGTAAACTCCCCTACTATCATCCGCAGCATCCAGCACCACCTACGCATTCACTACAGCCATGATGAACACACACACCTCGTCTGGACTACTTCCCACCTAGGCATCGACATTAACGAAAAAGTTGACGCCCTCGCCAAAAGTAATCCGTTTAACTATGTTATCTCCAATTATATAACCCCCGAAGATCTCCTTGCAGCCATATACTCTGACCATCATCACAACATAGAAGACTCCTGGAATCACTACCCAAACCGCACTAACTACCCTTAGCTCTATGACAATCCACATTCCAGCTTACCCACAGTCACCGATCGTTATATAAACGTTTTAGTAAACCGTGCCAGGACCAACTCAATACTTACTAATTACAGTACTTCCTTTACACCCGGAAAGTCAAAAGTACCGATAAATGCAGTCATTGCCCCGATCAGATCGATACAATCTCCCACCGCCTCGATTACTGTCACACATTCAACGCTGTTCGGTAAACGATTACTCGCTTAACACACAAAAAACAATACAAATATTTTCGATTACCTAAATCTCTCTCTCATCTCCACCCATCAGGAGGACCTGACTGCTTACTTCAA